GAAGAAGAAGAAGAAGAAGAAGAAGAAGAAGAAGAAGAAGAAGAAGAGGAGGAGGAAGAGGAAGAGGAGGAAGAAGAAGAAGAAGGAGGAGGAGGAAGAGGAAGAGGAGGAAGAAGAAGAAGGAGGAGGAGGAGGAGGAGGAGGAGGATTGTTCCTCTTGGCTTCTAGGTGCTCACTAAGGATTTTTCAAAATAACCATCAGAGCATTACTATTTGATATATTATTATTATTAACACGCTCTGATGCTAAAGAGTTCTACTCCCCCTCCCCACCTGAAAAGAAATCTGCTTCAAATGCAAAACACAAGCAGAGGAGAGGAGGTTCCGTTTGAGTTTCACAGCACCAAGCAGCTTTAGTACAGTTGAGCTAAGCCACGCCCAGGCTCCTTGCTGTCTCCTCCTTGCTCCCACAGCAAATACTCTTTCAGTTTCTAAACAGCCCTCAACTCTCTCACGCGCTGACAGGATGCTAGCCAGATGAATACCAATGGATGCTGATAAGCAGAGGCAGAATTCCCGCCACTCCTTATTTTCCTCCCTAAAAAACTAAGCCCAATCACATAGTTTCGTAGTGAAGCACGGGTATCGAACTACTATAATATAATATAATAAGAATGGCATCAACTCTCAACAGAACCCCCCCAAAATGCAATTATTTATTCAAAACAGCCATCCCAACTGTCTTTTTTTAAAAACAATAACAACAATGAGTTAAAAAGGAAAATATTGTTAGGAAGAAAAAGGACCAGCCAGTATTATCTACTGACTGACGCTTGGTGCTCCTTTCAGCTGCTGGGATCACTGTTCAGTGGCTGAATTAACACAAAACGTTAAACTCAGGTTAAGCAGAAGACAAACACTAGCATTGCAGTTCATCCAGCCTGGAAAGTAATGAACCAGATTCTGGCTTCACACATACACACGGTGTGTGCTGATTAACACAAACTTTCCCACCATTTGACCAGGTGTCTCCAAACTTGGCAACTTAAGACTGGTGGACTTTCAACACCCAGAATTCCCCAGCCAGCGTTGTAGTGAAGCACGGGGATTGAGCTAGTTAATCATATGTTGGCTAAGATTACAGATAGTTCTTGATTTACAGTCATGTGTTTAACAATGGTTCAAAGTTGTAACAGTGACTTATGACCATTTTCCACACTTCTGACCACTGCAGCTTCCCCATGGTTGCCTGATCAAAATCCAGACACTTGGCAACTGACTCGTATTTATGATGGTTGCAGTATCCTGGGGTCACGTGATCCCCTTTTGCAACCACCTGACCAGTAATGAGGAAGTCAGATGCACTTAAACAACCATGTTACTAACTGCAGTGATTTACTTAATAATTTACTTCCAGCGAGAAAGATCATAAAATGCGGCAAAAAGCTTGATTAGCACCAGAAATTGGAGACTCGATTGTGGTCGTAAGTTGAGGATTATCTGTACAAGAGCTTGGCAACTAGAATACAGAAGAAGAGAGTTGGAAGGGACCTTGGAGGTCATCTAGTCCACCCCCCTGCTCAAGCAGCAGACCTCTGGGCCCCTAATCTTCCTGGTTGTTCTTCTCTGCACTCTTCCCAACATCTTTTTTGTTATTAGTATCTTTTTTTTTTTTTGCAGGATGGTGACCAAAACTGGACATTATTTCAAGTAGTCCTTCTTTTCTCTAGACTAGGCAAATCCAAATCCTGCAAGAGTTCTTTGTGGGTTTTTGTCTCTGGGCTCTGCGTTAATCATCTTAGTTGCTCTTCTCTGCACTTTTTCCAAAATCTCCACATGCATTTTGCACTGTGGGGACCAAAACTGGATCCAGTATTCCAGGTGTGGCCTTAACTAAGGCTTTATAAAGTGGTACTAGCACGTCCCCAGGATTTTGAGGTTATTCCTCTCTTGATGCATCCAAGGCAGTGGTGGTATTTGGCCGGTTCTGACCAGTTCTGGAGAACCGGTGGTGGAAATTTTGAGTCGTTTGGAGAGCTGGCCAATATCATCTCTGACTGGCCCCACCTCCCTCTATTCTTTGCCATCCATCCATCTCTATCTGTTTTTCTATCTATCACCCATATTCCATCATCCATCCATCCATCTGATCAGCTGGGCCTTCTTTGGTTGCCCTGCACAGGAGAACAGAGCTGGAAAGCAGGTCAGAGGGATGGAGAGGGAAGGGGGATTTTGCAGTATATCCTTCCCCTGCCACGCCCACCAAGCCATGCTCATTAAGCAACGCTTAAAAAAAAAATTGAATCCAACCACTGCTCCAAGGATTGCATCCAAGGTGGCACATCTCTTATCAGTGTAGTTCTGCAATAACACCCCCCCCCCAAACAGGAAAAAAGAGAGAGGGGAGACAGAGCAAGGCTCTCTGGGAAGACCTGGAGAACAATAGAGGGAAGATAAACTGGTGGGAAAGGGGGGGGGGGAAGCCAGGGGCTGCCAAGTTTGTGAGGCAGAGTTTACATGAATTAGGAGGCTTAAGGCTGCTCAATCTGTTGCCAGTGACTCATCAGAGGGCACAAAGCAAAGTTTGGCGCACTGGGTGGCTGGCTGGCTGGCTGGCTGGCTGGATTGGCACAGGGGATGAACTCACCAGTCTGTCTCAGCCTGGCTCTGTCCTGCCACCCCTCTCTGCCCCATTAAGGCAGCCCATGGCCCTGCCGGTGGGGTGCAAGAGGGCAGAGATCTCAGCTGCTGGCTCAGAAGG